AATTTGGGAATTTTGAAGATTTCCATGTGATCGTCGATCATTTTATGATCACAGTAAATTGAAAAGAGCGATAATTAAACTAGAAGAAACTTGTCACAGGTTAAGGAGTATTTATAAGAAATTCGTTATACAAAAAAGGTCGATATACAAATTTCAGATTTCTCAGACTTAGTTAGGTAATACAGTAATAAGTTTCAAGAGTATCAATTATGGTGATTAGCAAGAGGATATACTGTATTTTCATTAGGAGGCAAATTAATTACACATAATTTTTTTCTAAAAGCAATAGTAATAAAAAAATTTACAACTTTTCTTATATAATAAGGTTTAAAATTTATTATACGTATAAATGTTAATACTGTAAATATTAATTATATAATTATTTTTACTATTTGATTTAAAAAATAAAAGTTTACTTATTTTTACTAGAAGCTTATTATATAGAATTTAACTTAATTAAAAAATTTAGTAATTTTCAAATATTTAATTTCTTAGACTATACGTAGAGCATGATCATGCAGTCAGCTTCGCCGCCTGTTTTAATATAGTTGTATTGCTTAATATAAGTATAATAAAATTAAGAGTAATTTTTATTAATATTGGCTAATATAATTAAGTATTTTAAAAGGTACTGAAATTAAGCAACCCCTCTAAAAAAAAAATCAGCCAAAATGGGTGGCTTAGAGGTTTGCTTAACTCGGGACTTTACTGTAATTGATTAATTGCAACTGATTTGTTGAATAAAAAACAATTACTCAACTAATCGATTGGAAAAGTTTTGCCGATTTGTAACACTATTGTATGTTATAACGCTTGCAATATTTTTACATGATTTTACGTATTTATTGCGGTTTGCAAAAAAATGTGAAATTTGCAAATCAAAAAAAAAAAAGTAATCGATGATTTCTGATTCTGATTGCCGATTTTTTTTGCAGAAATAAAAGTTGTAGATTCATAATTTTGACCATATTTTTTGATTTAATATCTTTTGTAGGAATATATTTTGCATACTCTTCATGTTGTAAAGAACTTGATTGTGTAATATTAAATTTTGCTTCTTTTCTAGCCCGGTAAATTTGCTATTGCATGATAAGCAAGAAGAGGAAAATTCAAAAGTTGCACTAAATTCAATCTTATAAGGATTATTACATGATATTGCTAAGGAAGTTAGTATAGCTCATATTTTCATTACAATAAATTTTAGAAGTTGATAAAAGACATTTGTGCATCCAAAGCATGTTCCGGGATAATACTTTAGTCATTAGAAATATTAGAAATGATTTTTTTTAAAAAAAAATGTATGCTAAATAAATATATACAGTATAAGACTTTATATATATGGTATAATATTAGTTGATATACATACGTCATCAGAAGTAATGTTAAAAAATCGGCAATCAGAAATCAGAAATCATCGATTTCTTTTTTTTTTTTTGATATGCAAATTTCACATTTTTTTTTGCAAACCGCAATAAACATACCTTACGAATTATGATAAGCTAATACGCCAAAATAAAAAAAAAAGACTTCAAAGTTTTATAATAAAAAAAATAAATGAATTTAAATTTTATTAGCAAATTTCAATTTAACATTCGAATACAGTATCTTAAAAATTTGCTTCATTAGAATTAGCTGTATTAGTTTGAATAATTTGATCAAACCTATTTTCTTTATTTTGAACAATATGATGTGAATTATCTATTTTGCTAATCCCCGTATCATGAAAATGGGCTTGTTGATTAATTTTGAGCATTGATAAGATAATTTCGAACTCCTAAAGGAAATTTCTAATACGAGAGGCTATTACCGCAGCAGAGCTAGATATAGGCTTATCAAGATTACAAAATGTGCAAAATATGCATTTGGCTTTAAGCCTTTTATTAGTTTAACTGGATGAAAAGCTTACCAAAGAGGTCCTAACGTAGAACCAACTGGTAGTTCACAAACAAATGTCGAATTTGTAAATTTTGTAAAGGCCAACTTAATATTATATAGAAGTATATTATTAACGTTCAAACAATTGATCTTTTTATTTAACTCAAAAATTTTGTATATACATATTTTATATTTTATCTGTAATTGATATATGTAGTTAGTTTATTGCAATTAATGTCCCTTAAATTACTTAATAATATGTAATAATTTATGAAATATGTAAGGCAAATTTTAGATATCGCTTACATAATTATTACATTGCCCATCTCTAACTAGTGGGAAATCGAAAAATTTGGAATTTAGATTAAACTTCCGATTAGAGCGGGTCTTGAAGACTCCGGAAATCTGGGAATGCTTCATTAAATGTGATCTGTGACCGTTCACACCTTTTTGAAATCAGCTGTAAATTTTCTGGTAACGTCTGTGTTTATTGGAAATCTTCAAAATTTTTTGGGAATCGAAAATCTGTTAGAATCGACACTTCCTTTGTATTCATATGAATATCATTGTCTGCAGATGTCACACCTTTTGCAACTGCCATAAATAAATACAGCTGCCATTTTTTGCCCTGCTAGAAATTTTTTCCCAATCTAGCTGATTCTTAAGGCAATCTGTATTGGTGTGATGTTTTATCTTGTTTGTTTATTTATTATCATTTAACCAATCATAAGATTTTTAAACTTGCAAAGCCATGACAACAAATAGTAAGGTCTCATGGTTAAATAATATACAAGCATTAGTATTAGATTCTTTTACCTTTCTTTTTGGCAAGCAAAGAATATTAGATTCTTTCACCGTTTTTTTTAATGAATATGAATCATGCATTTCTTACTCACGTTATTCGTAAACTTAAGATTACACTTCCATCCCTGGTTTTGCGTGGTAATGCTACTTATTTATTTAAAAATTTGAGAGATTAATGGTTAATGGCTTATTTACTCTATTTAATCAGCCTTTTAAAGCCAAATATGGGAACCCCCACAGTAAAAAGAGGCTGTGGGTAAAAAATTTTGATTTTGTAATTTTATAAAAATTCTATTTTAAATACTTTAATTCTTCAAGAAAATTAAGAAAATTGAGTTTAAAAAAAAAAAATTTTTTTTTTTTGCCCACAGCCTCCTTTTGCTGTGGATCCCCATATGCAAGCCGGGTAAAGATTTCCAGCATTATTTAAAAAACCACAAATATCAAATTATTGTTTTTTTAAAAAAATATAAAAGTCAGATTCATTCTATTAATAATGAATTCAAAGTATGTTTATGCTATAGCTTAGCTTGCATAGCCTTGTTTATTTACCGAAAACTTAGTTATACAGCATTCGCCTTTTTTCTCAGAATAGTCAAAAATTGTGAACAGGAGCATCATATAGATTTATTTATTCAAACATATTTCTGCCATATAAATATCTGTCCATTTGACAGTGTATTTATTTTTTGGCAACCTACATGTCTATCTGGTCATCATATGTTCATTTGAACATGTATACAAATATTTTTAATTTGAACAAATAAATATTCAAATTAAATAATTATGTTGGGTGAGGAAGACAAAGACAAATTAAGTGAGGAAGAAAGTGAAAAAATTATAGAATCTATCTCAAGACTGAAAAACAATATTGACAAGGACAGAGTTGATATTGTCAATTGTATCCAAGTAGGCTCAACGTTTCTACTAACAGTGATTGTAGATAACTACGCAGCAGATAAATACGCAGCACAATTAATTGTTTACAAAGAGAAAGAACCCGATGTGAATATAATTATAGAAAATAATAAAATAACTGTATTACAGGCTGAAAAGGTGGCGCAAACAATCGAGAAAGAATTATTTTCATTATTTTCAGACCAAATAAATCAACAAAAACATAGATATGATGTCGAAGATTATTTAGTAGAAGTTAAAGATTGCAATCAACTTTTACAAAAAATTAATAAAATGCTAAATGAAAAATCCGAATTACAAGCCGAAATAATTAAAAAGCTAGAAGTCGAATTAAAAGAAGAAGATGCTAAGGCTATTCAAGAAATAAAGAAGATTAGAGACGATTTAGCAAAGATGGAAAAAGAATTAGAAGAAGCTAAGGAAGATTTAAAATCTAAACAAAAAAAAATTGAAGAAATGGAAAAGCAGATGGAAGAAATTAAGCAGGAAGGAACGGAGAACCCAGATATAAATAATCAGCTGAAAAAAATTCGAGAGAATTTAAAAAACTCATATAAGAAATTAGAAGACTATGAAAAGAATTTGACTAATCCAGTTCTTCGAAAAGTAAAGCCACCAGTAATGATAGTGAATAAAACATTAAATAAGTACACAATGCATACACTAAGTTTAGGAACAGCAATCAATTATGTAGGTGGTGTAGTATCGACTTCTGGTTATGGTGTAATTGGTGGTTGCATAACTTTAGCTGGTTCAGCTATTGACACTATCACTTCTAAAATAGAAGAATTGGATGAGAAAGGACATGAAGCATTAATTACATTAGAAGAAACTTGCCAAAGATTAAGGAAAATTTATAAGACTTTGGTTGAACAAAAAAGATTAGAAGTAGAACGTTTAGAAATTTCGGATTTTTCGGATTTTTCAGAATTAGTTAACAAGTTGCAAAATAATATCATTAAAGGAGCCGAGCTGGACATAATAGATCAAATTGAAAAATTGAAATATAAAACGAAAGCTATTGATAAAGAGTTAAAAGAATTAATAAAAACTCAGCAAGAACAGTCGACCGAATCCATTTCTCAGGAAGAACAGTCAACTAAATCCATTTCTCAGCAAGAACAGTCAACCAAAACCATTTCTTCATCTAGTCGAGAATTAGAAGATATTAATCGATTAAGGCTAGAGACCGGAACCAGTTATAATCCTTTAAACCAACTTAATTCAATTCTTTCACATTTGTACTGAATTTGACTATAAAAGTGCTTCTGCTTTATTTTTTAAAAAAATTTATATATTTAAATAATTTTTTTTTAATAATATTTAGAAGGTAATTGCTATATGTTGCATCGTGCATTTGGTCACCTCTTTAATATCTCGAAATTTTACTAGGGTAACCCTGTTGTGCTACTAACAAAAAAGTTTTTCATGCAACTATACCTTAAACCTCCTTCTAACCCTAACCCTAACCATAATCTTTATTAGTGCCCTAATATTGTGCTTATTGGTAATTAGAGGAGCAATATACATTATATAAATTTTCTATTTAAATATTAGCTTTTATAAAATACTCTTTAAGTATTATATAAAATATTTAAACTTGGATTCAGGACACTTTTTTAATTGGTTTAATATGTATACAACATAATTATGTTGCTTGAAATTTGCTTATTTTGCCTCATTAAGTATTTTTTGGCAATTAGTAGATGCAAACATGTGAAAGAAATGTTTATTTATTATTTCAAATCATTAAGTATTTGGATTAACTTACCAATTGCATAGTGTATAGAAATTATTAATTAGGTAGCTGCGCGACATGTTCGTGAAAAAACCAGGAATGGGTTAACTTTATGCCAAGTTCTTATGAAAAATATATATATATAATTTTTATGACGTCCTAGCAGAAGTTAAATTTAAACATGTAATTTAACAAATTATAATGGAAAGTATATATATAGTATAAAGATAAAAGTATGTCATAAAAGTGCACGTCAATATGTAGCGTTACATGGAATGCGCGCCTTTTTATGTGCTTTGAATGTGTTGTTTAGTGCATTTGTTCCGTATATTTTTAAGTGCAAATTCGTGTGATCTCATCTCGTTATCAAAATTCCATCGTCCGTGACGGTTCCTCCTGTTCTATATTTATTGGAAATCTTCAAATATTCTGGGAATCGAATATCGGTTAGAATCGACTCTTCATATGATATCATTGTCTACAGAGGTCACGCCTTTTTGCAAACTGCCATAAACAAATAGAGCTACCATTTTTTGCCCTGCTAGAAATTTCAAGCTGATTCTCAAAGCAATCTGTATTTGTGCGACCTTTTATCTTGTTTTGTTTATATTTATTATCATTTAGCCAATCATAAGATTTTTAAATACAGTATGTGGTTAAATAATAGACAAGCATTAGTATTAGATTCTTTTACCTTTTTTTTGGCAAGCATAGAATATTAGATTCTTTCACCGTTTTTTTTTTATTTAATGAAATTTAAAATTACACTTCCATCCCTGGTTTTGCGTGGTAATGCTACTTACTCATTTATTTAAAAATTTGAGATTAATGGTTAATGGCTTATTTACTCTATTTAATCAGCCTTTTAAAGCCAAATATGGGAACCCCCACAGCAAAAAGAGGCTGTGGGTAAAAAATTTTGATTTTGTAATTTTATAAAAATTCTATTTTAAATACTTTAATTCTTCAAGAAAATTGAGTTTAAAAAAAAAAAAATTTTTTTTTGCCCACAGCCTCCTTTTGCTGTGGATCCCCATATGCAAGCCGGGTAAATATTTTCAGCATTATCTAAAAAGCCTCAAATATCTAATTACTTTTTTTAAAAAAAAATATAAAGGTCAGATTTGTTCTATTAATAACGAATTCAAAGTATGCTTATGCTATAGCTTAGCTTGCATAGCTTTGTTTATATTTGTTTATTTAGTTATACAGCATTCGCCTTTTTTTTGGAATAGTCAGTGAACAGGCGCATCATATAGATTTATTTATTCAAACATAGTTCTGCAATATAAATATCTGTCCATTTGACATTGTATTTATTTTTTGGCAACCTACAAGTCTATCTGGTCATCAAATGTTCATTTGAACATGTATACAAATATTTTTAATTTGAACAAATAAGATATTCAAATTAAATAATTATGTGGGATGGGGAAGACAAAGACAAATTAAGTGAGGAAGAAAGTAACAAAATTATAGAATCTATCTCAAGACTTAATGACAATGTTGACAAGGATAGAGTTGATATTGTCAATTATATCCAAGTAGGCTCAACGCTTCTACTATTAGTGATTGTAGATAAATGCACAGCACAATTAATTGTTTACAAAGAGAAAGAACCACCCGATGTGAATGTAGTTATAGAAGCGGATAATATATCTGAATCACAGGTTGAAAAGTTGGCGCAAACAATCGGGAAAGAATTATTTTCACTATTTTCAGACCAACTAAGACTACAAAAACATAGATATAATGCCGTAGATTACTTATTAGAAGTAAAAGAGTGCAATCAACTTTTAGAAAAAATTAATGAAATGCTAAATAATAAATCCGAATTACAAGCAAAGTTAATTAAAATGCTAGAATCCCAAATAAAAGAAGATACTAAGGCTATTGAAGAGATAAAGAGGATTAGAGACGAGTTAGAAAAGACAGAAAAAGAATTAGAAGATACTAAGGAAGATTTAAAATCTAAACTAAAAAAAATTGAAGAAATGGAAAAGCAGATGAAAGAAATTAAGCAGGAAGGAACGGAGAACCCAGATATAAAAAAACAGCTGGAAGCTATCCAAGTTGATTTAAACAACTCGTATGATAAATTAGTAAAGTATGAAGTGAATTTGAATGATACAGTTCTCCAAAAAGTAAAGCCACCAGTAATGATAGTGAATAAAACATTAAATAAGTACACAATGCATACGCTAAGTTTAGGAACAGCAATCAATTATGTAGGTGGTGTAGTATCGACTTCTGGTTATGGTGTAATTGGTGGTGGCATAACTTTAGGTGGTTCATTTGTTGACACTATCACTTCTAAAATAGAAGAACTGGATGAGAAAGGACATGAAGCATTAATTGCATTAGAAGAAACTTGCCAAAAATTAAGGACTTTGGTTGAGCAAAAAAGTTTAAATGTAAAACATTTAAAATTTTCGGATTTTTCGGAATTTTCAGAATTGGTTAATAAGTTGCAAAATAATATCATTAAAGGAGCTAAAGAAGCTAAAGGAGCCAAAGAAGTTGAGCTGGACAAAATAAATCAAATTAAAGAATTGAAAAAGAAAACGGAAGTTATTGATGAAAAGTTAAAAGCATTAATAAAAACTCAGCAAGAACAGTCAACCGAAACCAGTTCTTCAGAATCTAGTCAAGAATTAGAAGATAATAATCGATTTGGACTAGATGATAATCGGTTTGGACTAGATACCAGAACCAGTTACTCAAGCCTACTTGATTTAATTCCAAATCCTTTTAATAGTTAAACGGAAATTGCTATATGGTGCATCGTGCATTTGGTGCACCCCTCTATATCTCCAGTTGTGCTATTAACAAAAAAAGCTCATCACACAATTTTATCCTAAACGCCTTTAACAATAACCCTAACCTTAACCCTAATCTTTATTAATGCTTTAGGATTGTGCTTATTGGCAATAGAGGAGCACAGATGCACCATATAAATTTTTTCATTTAAATATAAAAATCACTCTTTACATAGTATAAGAAATATTTAAACTTAAATTCAGAACATTTTTTTTAACTGGTTTAATATGTATACATCATAATTATGTTGCTTGCAATTTGCACATTTTGCCTCATTAAAGTATTTTTTGGCAATTAGTAAATGCTAACATGTGAATAAAGGTTTATTTATTATTTCAGATCATTGAGTATTCGGATTAACTAAGTGTATAGAAATTATTAATTAGGTAACTGCGCGATATGTTCATGAAAAAACTAGGAATGAATTAACTTTGATGCCAAGTTCTTATGCAAAAAATATATAATTTTTATGACGTCCTAGCAGAAGTTAAAATTTAAACATGTAATTTTACGAAATTATAATGGAAAATATGTAAAGATGTTGTACTGTATGTAAAAGTATGTCATAAAAGTGCACGTCAATATGTAGCGTTGCATGGAATGTGCGCCTTTTTATGTGCTTTGAATGTGTTGTTTGGTGCATTTGTTCCAGATATATTTAAGTGCAATTTTGTGTTATCTAATTTCGTTATCAAAATTCCATCTTTATGCAGAACAGGAGGAACCGTCGATGTTACACGGCTGAACCTTCACCCGGTGTGCAATGTATATAAAAAATTATTCTACAATACCAGATCATTCAGCTAGTACATGCTATGATTATAATCCCACATCATTTTATTATAATAAAATGGTATGGAATTATAATCATAGCATGTACTAGCGGAATGATCTGGTAATTGTAAAATAATTGTCGCGGCTGAAGCTGGAAATTAGGGACCCTTGATTTAAAAATATAAACCTACTTATACTCTTTTATTATTAAAACTACCACTAAACCCTAACCTAACCCTAAAAAAACCCCTAACAAAAGGCCCAAAAATTTTTTGAAAATTTCATATTAAATAATTAAAATTTCTGGCATCAACCATTTCCAGCATCAGCCGCAACAATGATTTTTTTATATGTTGCACACCGGGTGAAGGTTCAGTCGTGTAACATCGACGGTTCCTCACGCTTTATATTGTAAATCTTCAAAATTTTCTGGGAATCGAAAAATCTGTTAGAATCGAATCTTCCTTTGTATTCATAAGATATCATTGCCTGCAGAGGTCACACCTTTTTGCAAACCGCCATAAATAAATATAGCTACCATTTTTTGCCCTGCTAGAAATTTTCTCCTGATTCTCAAGGCACTCTGTATTAGTGCGACGCTTATCTTGTTTGTTTATATTTATTATCATTTAACCAATCATAAGTTTAAACATGCTAAAGCCACGACAACAAATAGTAAGGTCTCATGGTTAAATAATAGACAAGCATTAGTATTCGATTCTTCCACTTTTTTTTTGGCAAGCATAGAGTATTAGATTCTTTCACCGTTTTTTTTATTGAATATGAATATTGCATATCTTACTCACGTTATTCATAAACTTAAGACCACACTTCCATCCCTGGTTTAACGCTACTTACCAATTTATTTAAAAATTTGGGAGATTAATGGCTAATGGCTTATTTGACTCTATTTAATCAGCCTTTTAAAGCTAAATATGGGAACTCCCACAGCAAAAAGAGGCTGTGGGTAAAAAATTTTGATTTTGTAATTTTATAAAAATTGTATTTCAAATACTTTAATCCTTCAAGAAAATTGAGTTTAAAAAAAAAAACTTTTTTTTTGTCCACAGCCTCCTTTTGCTGTGGGGATCCCATATGTAAGCCGGATAAAGTTCCAGCATTATTTAAAAAGCCATAAACATCAAATTATTGTTTTTTTTAAAAAAATATAGAAGTCAGATTTATTCTAATTCAAAGTATGCTTATACTATAGCTTAGCTTGCAATTTGTTTACTGAAAACTTTGACTTTTGCCAAGTATACAGCATTCGCCTTTTTTTTCGGAATAGTTAAAATTGAGATCTGATGCGAACAGGCGCATAATATAGATTTATTTATTCACCACATAAATATCCGTCCATTTGACAGTGTATTTATTTTTTTGGCAACCTACAAGTCTATCTGGTCACCATATATTTATTTTAACATGTATACAATTGTATTTACTGCGCTTTTCAAATTACTGTGTTCATCAAATGATCGTCCATCACACGGAAATCTGAAAATTTTGGCAAATTTTGGCACTTTCTCATAAATAAATCTAATTAAAATGTCAGAAACAAAAAATTCTCAAGATTCCCCATTATATTTCGATTCTCCAGCAACACTTCTAGTAGTACACTAGATCAGGTAGTTATTGTGACAAAGTAATATCAAAATTTCCAGAAATTTTTTTTTCTTTTTTTTGTTAGTGGGAATTTTGTTATCATTTCGACAAACCAGCCACCAGCTCTAATGTACTACTAGAGGCAGCACTGTAGAATCTAAATATAATGGGGAATCTTTGGAAATTTGATTTCTAGACATGTTAATTAGATTTATTTATGAAAAAGTGCCAAAATTTGCCAAAATTTTCAGATTTCCGTGTGATGGGCGATCATTTGATGAACACAGTAATTTGAAAAGCGCAGTAATATCATTATATATGAATTATTTTATCGAAATAGTTGAAAATAGCAAATAAATTTTTTTTTTTGATGTACACCCGAACACCCATACACCCAATTAGCTTAGAATATTGATTAAAGGTCGTTTATGTAATTCTGTAATTGTTCACCGAATAATGGTCATTTGTATTGGTGAACAATTACAGAATTACATAAAATCAGGCATTGACCTTCAATCTAATCGGGTGTATGGGTGTACATTGAAAAAAAATTTATTTGCCATTTTCAACTATTTCGAAAACAGTGATAATTTGATGCAAATTAAAAATTTAAATTTTAATCTGGTACAACTTTGTTCTAAATAGTGTTTCTATGAACCTGAACTGAACTGAACTTTGGTCAGGTTCAGGTTTAGGTTCAGTTCAGTCATGTTCAATATTGAACTTTTAAGTGAAGTTCATGTTCAGTTCAGGTCAGTATTGAACTTTTATGTCAAGTTCATGTTCAGTTCAGGTTCAGTTGAAGGTTTATGAACATACTCACACTAATTATTAAAAGCTTGATTACTGGAATTATAGCTATTTCTGTAGGCGACGTTGCCTTTTTATATTTGCTATAAATTTTTCACCCCTATAACCACACTTTATACTACCTGTTTGTGAAAAAATTGTGCTTATGAATCTTTTTATAACTTTTTTATTAAAAAAAAATTATTACACAATTTGGAAAATTGTTTAAGCTCTAAAATGAAGAATTTCAGCTCATATCCATTGAAAGACTTGTCATTGAAATTTTAACTCACCTAAATTCGATTGAAAATTTATTAGAGACAATTGTCTTTGCCATAATTGAATTAGAAAATGAATAGATCCTTTCAATCGCAAAATAAAAAATTTAGCTCTTTATATTGTTAAAAAATTGTACAAAATATTTACATAATCTCATTTGAATGATCGTAAATAATAACTACGGAATAAGTAATCAAAGAACCAAAATAAGAGAGCCAGAGAATCCTATTTTGCAAAATAAAAATTTTACTATGTATATGATAGATGTCATATGAAAGTTAAAATATAATTTGTAATAAAAGTGATCATATAAATAAGTATCTGCAGAACTTGGCTAAAAGTATAATAAAATAGCAAATGGCTTATATTTAAATGAAGAATTTACCAAAATGCACTTATGGTCTTTTATACAGCTATGTACATATTATCTCAAAAACTGGCTAATTAATCAATGCAAGATGTTCTAAGTAAAAGTACTCTACGCCCCTAAAAACCCCTTCCCAACCAAACCTTAACCCGAATATTAATACTAATACTAACATAAAAATTATGGGATGAAAATTTTTTATATTCAAAGCTTAGAAAAATCAAGAAACATAATAAAACATATGATAGGTGCAAAACCACTATAGGTGCGTTTTATAATAAATATAAATAAATATGTCACCTTTTTCAACTAGAAATATTTTCTCAATTTAGCTCGGAAATAAGAAGCTAGATATTATACTATATGATATATTAATTATGAAAATTTTCTAATTTCACCCGTAATAACCTATATCAATGCAACGATTTTTGTATTTATTAAGAAGCAATATAAATTTATATAATTACATTGAATCTTATCTGAAACTGAGCATGCAAAGCCACTCACAGTACAATTTCTATTTATAATTACATAAAAATTGGTCGACTTTTACTTAGGAGCATAATTGATAGTTAATAAACTCTTTTATACCCTGGTCACTATATCAAGGTCGCAGGGCATAAATCAGTTATACCCTGGGCACTATGTGTATAAGCAGGACTTTCAGTCCCGCTATACCCAACTGCCCAGGATATAACTATTACATATCTCACCGAATGTTAAAAAGTTGAATCCTTTAATCAAGTACTGTACGTACTTCATTATTTGGTTCATCACTTGATGCTTCTTGTGGAGCAAAATTGTGATGAGGATATCTTCTAATAATAATAATTGAGGCAGTTGATAAAATTATAATCCCTGCAATTGCACCAAATGCGATACCAATAATTTCACCAACATTATATGTTGAAGAGTTAGAATGTGTAACATTAATATATGGTGAAGAATTAGAAGTAGCCAATGGCATTATAGTTGTAGATGTAGTTGGAACCGATTGGAATTGCTTGGTAGGGTCATATGAAGTAACCCAGTCATAATTATTTTTTTGACTTACATCAAGAAGAAAACAATTATTTGTACTATTTCTTCCACTGGTATCTTAAAATTTATAAATTATTTAACAATGAT